GTGGTGTGTGTGTGTGTGTGTGTGTGTGTGTGTGTGTGTGTGTGTGTGTGTTGGCGATAATTCTGCCCTCCTACAATCATTCGAGAAATGGACACCCGTATGGTCGAGTAACGTTATCTCATATAGCATATGTCATGCAAGATATGTCCGTCATATAGCATATGTTAGTTCATTACCCGGCCAGCGACCAAGTAATGCTCACCCGGCCTGGCGCCCCCGCGCGTAGCTCACCACTCTCTGGGTCTAAAATTACGGAAGTCCGTCCCAGTGGCTCAGTTGGTTTGAGCGGCTGCCTTCTGATCCACCCACCCGTGGCAGGGTGGGTTCGAGTCGCTTTAGGCGATCGCTATTTGCCCCTGACAGGTATGACCTGCGGCCGGTGGCAGCAGGGCGCGCTAAAGGTTAGTTGTGACGTCAGAAGGCAGGACGGACCCGTGCCGAGCGTTGCGGCACGTTAAGCTTTCGCCACTAATTCTGTCGTTACCTGGAATAGCGCGATCGAATGGTGGGGGGTCAGGTGCTCACAACAACAAGCACTACTGATCCCAGAAATTCATCATTCAAAGGGTTCGGATCAAATTTTTAAAAAATGTTCTTCAGTGCATTAGCGAGGAGCATTACTCACATTAGATAAGACAGCAGTATTAGCCTTATCCCGGAAAAAAACAGGAGAATGGAGATAAAGTTTAGTTGATATTTCGGCAACATGCCTTTATCGAAAAAAGCAGAAGTGCTTTCCACTCCTGCTGTCGTGTCGATAAAGGCATGCGCCGGAATATCAACCAAAATATATCACCATTCTCCTGGTTTTTCGGAAGGAATAAGGCTTAATACTACTGTCTTATCAATCTCTGGTTCAGCCCAACCCCAGCGATCCATAGTCGCCGAGATTGTCAATGTGTCCGCTGACGAACGGTGCCTCCCGACAACCAAATATGACGTCAATGGCTATTCTCACGCGACTCGTAACATCGACATGCCCTGGCAAATTACTCGTTACTGGTTCTGTCCACTGCAGTGGTTCAAATACAGACAACCTGTTATGCCGTTATAACAGCGGACATGAAGCGAATCGACTTCACGTGTGCTTTTTTCAGTACGCCGCCGTCACCTGGAAGCCTTCAAATATTGTTAAATATCGATATATCGTTAGCACACAACGATGCTCGGCTGCCCCCAAACATTGCACAATAGCGCCGGCGGAACCCAACAGTGTCTCGAACATATCGACCCTGGCTGTCCCACAGCGGAGGTGCTAGAGCAAAAAGTCACGACCCGCGCGGATGGTCATGGATGTGTGCGTCTGCGTTTTGCTTTGCCATATTAAGCCGCATCTCTTTTGCGTGACATGTCAGACAGGAGTCACGAGGGCTTGCATTACTTGTTTGCCGTCTCTGCGCATGTTTTCGTGCACGCGCAGAATAAACTGATATAATAAAACACGCAGCGAATTACTTCTAAGCCGTAGGGTGGAGTTGTGGGCAACCGTAAAATCCATAATATACAGATGGCGCTTGACAGTTGAATGCCCCTTACGTCACCCACGCATAGCAGGCTTTTTCCTAGATGAAATAATTGTGTCATCGGCTACTTTCACGTCAGTTTTAAAATTTGACCTCATGTGTCTCTGCTCTCTAATGACCTTCAAGGATGTCAAAGGTAATGATCACTATAAGGCGACAGACATCAGATCATTATCATGGTCACGTTACTCATAGATAAAGGAAGGGAGAATGGCGGAGCGCAACAGAAACATATCAGGTGAAGGGAGAGGTTTTGCACAGTGTAACGCTATGCTCTGGTGTGAATGTAAGCGATGCTATTTTTCTTTTAAATGATACGTGGAAAACTGCAGAGCAGTTAACGTTGTTTACTCTGAACACCAGAAACACACCCGTTATCTATGTCACTAATATAGCTCAATTAGGGACTAAATAGACGTCACATTTTTAGAACGTTACGCATGACATAGCGTAGCCATGTATGGGTGGGGCATAGTGCAACCAGCGCGCAACCACGGAAAGGAAGGCTTGAAAAAGGACAAAAATCCCTGAGTTATTATGAATGGTCCCAAACTCCCTTACACATTTAGACCACTAAGAAAACAAATAATGATGAGAAGAATGTGAACTGCGACAGACATGCCGTCACGCCCCCGTCAATTTTTAAAACTTTACAAAATGTAGCAAAAACGACTAGTTTCACATTTTCTTCTGGTGACCCTTAGAAACGTGGCCCGCTCTCTGTTCCTTCACAATGCGAAACTTTCAGAAAGCGCACAAAGATTTGGAACTGACGTGAGCTTAGGAATAAAAACGGCAAACAAAAATGCAGTCGTCCGCACAACGACCCTTTTCGGGGCTCAAGCTCCCAAAAGCTAAAGCAGCAGTTTGAGCCATTTGTTTTGACCACACAAAAACGATTTTAATGTCAGCAGGACGTCAGTGGCGAAGCCAGGATTCCGGCCCAGGGGTGACAAATCGGCTAATGCGAGGCCATTTCATTCAAGGAACAACCCTTCTTATCGCAATAGCCTTTGTTTTCAGAGGGCTTTGTCTCGGGTCCTTTATTGGTGCCTGGTGGCCCAACCTTGATGCCATGTATGGGCTTTAGATTAATTTGTCAAAACGTAATGCCCCTCCCCCGTTCTTAACGAACCCGCCACCGTCAGGGCGCAAGTAGCCGCTGTAGTTGTCATGTCCAAAAAATATCCCGCCCTCCTCCAGGGGGAGGGAGCATAGCGACAAAGGCTCACCCGTTGGCACGTGATTGGCAGAAGCTGAGTGCTGGAGTATCTGGCCTCGGTAGGCCGCGGGCTGCGGCGACTTTGACCCGACGCCCGAGTATGAGCGGCCGCCGGACACCACTCGTCTCGAATCCCAGTCGAGCTGAGTATCGCTGGATCGAGTGGAAACCAGCGCATACCGCTGCCATCCGGAACATGGAGGCGATGGGCGGGAGGCGTTCATATTGTCCAAGGTACTGAATGTCCAAGGGACAGAATGTACAAAGTTCATAATGTCCAAGGTACACAATGTCCAAGACGAGAAATAACCTCCAAAATAGTGCAGAAATGGACGCCCGGTGCGAATTCCCCGGCCTCCGTAGCGCGCTACGACGGCAATGGCGGACACAGGCCCGTCGGAGGCGTCTGGCGCGGCCGCGAGGTGGCGCCGATCGAGCGACATCCGTGCTGAGCACGCGGCTGGCTGAGATTGGTTCCGGTTCCGGCTGCTCCCCAGCCCCGAGCGTGACCTCGCCCTGAGACCGCGCGCCGGCAGCGGCCGTGTTGTTCGCGTCTAACGCCGCGAGGGCGAACGCTCCGCGGCCGGTGGCGAGCCGTGCCATGTCTGTGACTGGGTGAAAACTCGCCGCTGCTGCTCTGGCCTGGTTAAGGCGTTGTCCAGCGACCAGCAGAGTTGGCGGCTGAGTCCGTAGGCGGCTGAACCGCCGCTCACCAGCGGCGTCGCGTGCGCAGCGCCTGTCCGGTGCCGCGGTCTGCACTCGACTCCGGGGGGAGCGGGCGGCAGCAGCTCCACAACGACCCTCAGGCTCGTCTCGCGACAGACGTCACCCGACACATGCCCCGCGCCCCCGCATCAGAACGTGATATGTCCGCCTACTGCTCGTAAACATGATGCTCGAGGTTAGATCAGACTCGGGTTGAAGCGCTGACGCGCGAGCAGACAAGCCCGTGCACCGAAGAAGCGGTGGTCGGCCACGGGGGAAGGTGCCAGGCACCGGTAGCTGAGATTCCGCCAGGGATAGCGCTGGCCGGTCGCAGTCGCTCACAGACCCTCCGGTTCCCCTCCCCCCTCCCCCCCCCCCCCACCCCGGAATACCCCTACCATTATTCGCCCACTGCCGCTGGGAATCGTTACCAGACGACCAGGCAGGCATGAATTGTGTGGGCATATATGCCACCGGTGAGACCCGCAGCTCGCCGTAGTTACACGCTAGGTTTGCTAGCGACGAAAGTCGAGACAAACTAACGCATAAGTAAATCAATATAGCAAGGCCTTTCAAAACGGCCCTGCCATCAAAGATCCGTTCCCCCGCGACGAACGGCGATCCACAGCCAGCAGTCTTCCCCGCCTCCTGCGCTCGGCCCCGACCGCGGCTCACCAGCGCGACCAACAAAACCAGCACCAATCGACGGATAAGTTTTATTTACAAAACAGCCTTGGCGGCGCGACGCCCGGCCGCCGACGACGGAGCCACCGCCGAACCGGCCCAAATAAAATCCAACACAAGCAACAGCGCCAGTAACACGGCAGGAGCGGCCGCAGGTGGCCGGTCGGCGCGGGGCCCGCGGCGCTGCGGGCGGGGGTCGGTCTCCAGGAGCGGCCTCTGCTGTCGGCTGGAGGCGGCTCCAGCGGGCGGCGGTGGTAGTCCGGTCTCGCCCCGCGCGAGCCCTCGGCGCCGGCAGCGGCGCAGGCACCGCGCCGACGCGCCCCACGCCACTCGAAGGCGATTAACATAGTAAAATATATGAGCCCACTACCCTTACCCACTCAGCAGCGTCGTCCGACACGCAAACGATCGGCTAATTTGTGTAGCATACCAGTCAGCACTCTGACGCCCAGGCAGGCTTCGTCAGCGCCGAGCGCCGCCGGCGGTCTCGCCGCACACCATCCGCCACTCGCACCGGTCACTCGTTACGGCCCACTCCGGCACTCCGTCGTCGTGCGCCCACTCCCACTCTCCGCCCAGTGATGGCCGGTTGCCAGTCGCCGCAGCCGGCCGGAGCGCGAGCGTGGCGCAGCAGCAATTGATTCTCGCGCCGTGTTGTCTAACTCACCGCCGTCACCGGTCCGCCACGGACGGACGTCCATTAGATGCACATAACTCTGCTGGCGGCCGGGCAGCAGGTGCTCATAACGCCGCCTACGTCAGCAGGCGCGGATCTCCTTGTGCAGATGGCACCAGGTAGTCGACGTACGAGGCGGAGCCGTCCGAGCCCTTGTCTTCCACCAGGAAGTGGCGCATCACCATCTCCAGCTTGTCTCGCTGCCGTACCACAGTCAACTGCGCAGTCGGAGAGACCAAGTCAGCCCGCAGACAATCGGAATCCACATCACGTGACGCGTCAGTTTATCAGCACCTCTCGGAGGGAACCAAGGGAAGCGGCATGTCCCAGAAACGCCCAGGACAGGACCAACTTATTCAGCGTGAAAAATTTTGTTTCCCATTCCCGTTTAAAACATGAAATTTCAAGAGCCGCATTTTGCACCCACACGCCACACCGACCTCAGCAGTAAACGACCCTCCCCCTAAAAAAAAACTATGTACAGGTGGACCTACAACTAAACAAAGACGCCCTACAGCTGCTACATGATGCTACAGCTGCCGGCGTTGAGGCCATCGGCCATGACATTTCTGGAGAAGTGAGCACCTCTGACCCCATCTCCTTTGCTGGCGCGACTTATTCAGCCACTGTCTATTGCGCCGCTATTATCGAACCACGGCAGGCGGCCAATGTCGAGGAAACATATCAAGAAAAAGAACAAGACGCATGTACAGCCAGGTGGCAGATGTATGTCAACAAACGACACAGACCTAACGTCCAGCGGGAGGCGGGGCTGGAGGAAAAGGTAGGGGGGGGGGGGGGCAGGACCCCACCTTCATGTGTGGCACTGGCGCTCCGTGCGGACCCTCCTCGACGATGCCGCGGCACGCGGATACTGATGCGGCGTGTCCAGCTCCGGCAGACTTGGCCGGTCCACGTCAATCTGCTCGGCACGTGACAGAGCCCCCGTCACAGCCGTCACACGGCACAGACTCCCATCAGGGCCGTCACACGGCACAGACTTCCGTCACAGCCGTCACACAGCACGGACTCCTGTCAGGGCCGTCACACGGCACGGACTTCGCCACAGCCGTCACACGGCACAAACTCCCGTCACAGCCGTCACACGGCACAGACTCCGTCACAGCCGTCACACAGCACGGGACTCCTGTCAGGGCCGTCACACGGCACGGACTCCGTTCAGGGCCGTCACACGGCACAGACTTCGCCACAGCCGTCACACGGCACAAACTCCGTCACAGCCGTCACACTGCACAGGACTCGTCACAGCCGTCACACGGCACGGACTCCTGTCAGGGCCGTCACACGGCACAGACTTCGCCACAGCCGTCACACGGCACAGACTCCGTCACAGCCGTCACACGGCACAGACTCCCGTCACGAGCATACCTCACAAGGAATATCCGGCAACACACGTAACTATCAAAATGGCTAAATTGGCACCAGAAATGCAACATGCTTTCTGACACAGCGTTATAACATGGAACGTGCTAAACGCTTCACAGCAAGTTCATAAGCCATCTTGCAGAACAGAGCGCGTCAACACGTGCACAGCTGTTTGCTGGCGTCTTCCCGATCCGATGCTCCGGCGGACAGCTGGTCTGCCACGTCCCTAGCACGCTAGCTCATCCGGCACGCCTGATCGACACGACACAACACAACACAACATATGACACGACACAACAGACAGCACAACAAATAGCATGATATAGTGAAGGGCACAACACAGCACAAGACACAACACATGACACGACAAAAAACCACACGTCACAATAAACGACACGACACGACAAACGATACAATACAATGAACACGACACAACGCACGGCACAACACAATACATGACAGACCGCACGACACAACAAACGACGCGTCACAATAAACGAGGACATCGCAAACTAAACGACACAGCAAAACAAACGACACGACACAACACACGAAAAACACAGATGATATGACACCACAGGACACGATAGAACACACATGGCGCGACGCCACACGAAACAACGCGACAGGATACATGACAGACACGCCACTCACCTGGGCCACCGACTGGACGGCGAACAGGTCCTGCACGACGTCCGGCGCCAGCTGCAGGCCCACCCATAGGAACAGGTGCACGCCGTTGTCCAGCAGGAAGAGGCCGGCGTCGTGCAGCTTGTCCTGGCTGCACCGCACGGGCGCCGGCAGGGCCGTGGCGTCCGGGTCCAGCCCGTCGAGCGGCAGCAGGCGCGGGTACAGGTACGGCACCGACCGGCGCACCGGCAGCGACCGTCACTAGGTACATGTGATTCGAGCGCTCGTCGATGGTCAGCTCCGGACCTGGGGACCGGCACCAGCCGTCACCAGAGGGTCACAAGACGTCATCAGAGGTCAACAGGTGCGTGTGCCGTGAGCGCTCGTCAACGGTCAGCTCCGGATCTGGAGACTGCCACCAGCCGTCACCAGGGGTTACAAGACGTCACCAGAGGTTATCAGGGGTCGCCAGTGGTCACCATTGGTCACCAGCTGTCACCCAGTAAATGTGGCGCGAGCGCTCGTCGATGGTGGTCAGCTCCGGGCCGGGGGAACGATACCACAAGTCGTCTAAGGTCACAAAGGTTCTCAAACAACAGGGCATCGCCGATAGAGGCCACCGCAGGGAGTCGTCTAAGTTCAAGGGGATATACAGCGGCTGAAGCTTAAACTAAGGCCGGCGAATCTTGGTCAATGCCCCAAGTGAGCTGGACACGAAAGGGCGGTGGTGTCTGACGTATGGGGCGTTGTCCCGACCTTTCATACTTCTAACGAACTAGGCAACATGGATTATTTCGCCCTGTGGTTTCCATAGCCCTGGTAACGTCATCGGTCCGATAGACGTTGTGGCAACGACAGCCCACAACCCCGAACTCCCCATTAATCACCCAGCGAAGTTGTTGCCTGACTGATAACGTCGCCGCGACCAGAGCTCTGGCCAAATTTACCTAGAAACAAACAGTCAAGCAGGCCAGCGACCCTCCATCGACATGACACCTTCACATGACATCTGTGCCGGCCAGTCGCGGCCGTACCCGCTCCACCACACCCCCTTTCACCTGGGTTGCCACTAGCTGCCCATAAGACTCAGCTCGCGCACGTCACCACCAGCCGTCCATAACTTACCGCCGCCGACGGCGTCGCTGCGTAGGATGCAGTTCGCGTAAAGCGGCAACAGTTTCATGCACTCGGGCAGGATCAGCTGGCCGGCCGAGCTGGGCGAGGCGCAGTTCTTGCGGTAGCTGGCCAGGATCTGGGCGCACTGCGCCGTCAGGGAGTCCCGGATGGCGCGTGGAGACGAGTCCAGCACCTTGGAGACGGCTGCCGGAGACGGCGGGCCAGCCCCGTCAGGTGATGCCCAGAGGGGAGGGAGCGGGGGCCGCAGTTGAGCACACAACAAGGAGACAGAAAATGCAAGGCGGCCACAAAACGCATGCACATTGGTAAAACAACCAGCATAGCATTAAATTCGTAACTGAATCTGGTACGCAATCTGGTTTGTCTTTGAGGTTCGCCGACAATA